TTCCCGTATTTTCCTGAGAGAGAGAGAGAGAGAGAGAGAGAGAGAGAGAGAGAGTCATTAATTATAAAATGCAAACATTTTTCTTATTACAAAAAACTCATGCATTTTGTAATAATAATACGTTTTTTGCGTCAAAAAGCATAACTTTTTCAAATCATATGATGTTTTCCGAAACGAAAAGTGCAAAAACAAAACCAAAACTAATGTATAAATTATTTAATAAAAAGGATTTTCCTTCAAAAACATGTTTCAGACGTAACAAAAACAGTGAGTTTTTTGTCTGAAAGTGTGTTTCAAATTACAACAAAAATAAGTAAAAAACAAAAACAAAAAATCATTTTAAGGCCAGAAAACCCTTTTTGTGTGAAAATCCATTTGCAGTCAACACTATCTCAATGATAATCAACGCATTACTCTATAGCTAAAAAACTAGTTAACTAAATGAAACCTAGATGAAATTACATAGATATAGTGGTGTATCTATGCATAATACTATCTCTATGGCGTGTAAACTATGTACTTTATTTACACAAAATACATTATGTTTAATTAACAAACTATATTTATAAGTTTATAACACACTATACACATGTACAGTATATCTGATCTAGTGTTACATTTAATTAATTCACCACAATTATCAGTTCAGTCACCCCCTCCCCCTCTATTCCCTACCAAAACCAATTATGATGGTGTGATTATTATTTATTTTTCTAGAATGGTGTGATTATTACGATAGTAATCTATGAAACAAACAAAAACAAATATGATAAAATATTTTTATTAATGTATAACAAGTTTTTTCCTGTGATATCGTAACTGAATCCCAATTTATATTTATATTTAGATATAGTATTTTTATTTAGATTTATTTGTGGTGTATTTTCTATTATACTAATACATCGAAACACTCTATCTGAATGAATGTACGATATATTGAATTTTTGAACTCTCATGGTAAACAATATTTCAAATAACAATATATTGTCTAATAATTTATTAAAAGTTATATTTTTGTTATGTTTTAATAAATGATATGACAGGCATAATAATAGTAATAATTTATTATAAAAATGCAACATTTTTATATTATTTTTATAGATATTGTTTGACTAAATATTTTATTAACTAAATACTAAATATTTCTTCTCATGATTAGTTATGTCTACCATATATTAATAGTACTGTAAAATAATTTTTAATATCTGCTCATCATAAAGATCTAGCTAATTCTAATATAAATTAGAGTCTACAACTAATCGCCATATTTTTTTAAACTTTATAATTTTACATTGCTTGATCTCAATTACCAGTTTATTAATTTTTGATTTGATTTTATAGTATTTATTAATTCTTTGGAATTATTGACAAATTTTATATTTACTATATTAATAAATACTGTAATTAATGTTTAAAATGTGCAATTACTTACGGCAATATATCTAGTTATTATTTCTAATGGAAAGAACCGCCGCAAAAAATATATTTTTAAAAGTTTTTTTTAATACTCGTTATATTTAATCATTAATTATAACAATTTCACTCCAATCACCCTGATAGAAAGTATTTATCATGAAACAAGTCAACATAAAAATGGTTTTAATTTTAATTTATTAAAACAATGCATCAATAATTGGAGTCGAGTGTAAGTATTGGTATTCATACAAGAAATATATATATATTGTACCGACTGTCAAATAATGACCAAGTCGCTTTAACCCTTAAAGCTTAAACTATAATTATGAACGTTGTAAATAAACTGGGAAACTAATCTCCCAGCAGTTAGTGCATAAACTGGGAGATTAGTCTCCCACGCTTTAGTGCTGTTAATGCTGGGAGAATAGTCTCCCAGTTTATGCAGTTTAATGCTGGGAGACAAATCTCCCAGTTTATGCAGTAGACGCAGAAAAAGATTAGCACTATTTATACTGCAGGAAAAAAGTTGCATTGCGCATAAACTGGGAGAATAANCAGGAAAAAAGTTGCATTGCGCATAAACTGGGAGAATAATTACCAAAACTTTAATTAAACCATGATAATTAATTAATGATATAATTTATAACTATATAACTTTACATATTTATTAACCTAACTATTTATGAGGCATTTCTGGATTTTTTTCCGGCTAGCACTCTTCGTTGATTTTTACTTGAAATTCAAAGTGCAAATGGGAGACTAATCTCCCAGTTTAAGCTTCTAGGGTTAAGTAGTTTTTATCATTATGCCCGGCGTACACTGAAATATAATTGTAATTGTTAATAATTATAAAAACGATTAGTTTTATTATTAAATAACATATAATATAACCCCTTTATAATTGAGAAGATGGTAAAAATTATTGCTAAAATAAGGCGTAACATTAATAAGTCAATCGTAAGCAATGGCCACACATTTAAAGCGACCGATAATATTAATAAATTTCTAAACAAGAATTTAGTATTTGCCTCAAAAATTGATGATTACATGAATGGTGTCTACGATATGCGCCGACAATTGCCGCTAATTATGGCCCGATTTGTGCTATTATTAGTGGGCGTAAAGTACGCCCTCTCGGCGGCGGTAAACACCCGTGAAATGCGGGCCCTATTGTCCGACCCGAACTATATTTTCGGTTATTCGCGGGCCATCTCCGTAATGATTAGCGTAGCGGCATTTAGTGTACTATTCCTTGGTTTAGTAGTACAACGGTTGGAAATGACGGGCAAATTGTACATGTGCAATTTTCTATACCAATTAAAACATAATCAATTAACGCTTCCACTAAATCGTTGTCATAATAATAGATTCAATTTAATAAGCAATTGGCTGTTAAAGTATTATATGAGACAAACATTTTGGTCGCTCGTGTTGGTAACTAATGGCGTGTCATTATGGGAAATGTTCAACGCTTATTATTTTGACCAAGATTCTGGTTTTACAATAATGTCGGTCATATTCTGATCCATTTGTAACATTATTTGGACGCTTCAATACTACGCTATGCTTTGTATTTCGATTCTCTTATGGTATATCAGCACAACTTATTTCAAATACAAATTCATTGAAATCAATCGCGAGATTGAGATCTGTATTCAGTATAATAGCTGGACAACACTCATGAAAGCTATTGACAAACACTATATGGTGGCGCAAATTGCTCATGATCATAATACTTTGTATAATTACATTTTGTTTATAGTGTATTATGTGTGCACTCCAGCTGTTGAAATATTATTATACATTACGTTTGCAAATAACACTACATTGGATAAACGTCTTGGCGCTGGTTTCCTGTTTGTGGTCGTGTTTGGTGTGGTATTTATGCTAAACTATATGTCCACTCGATTCACAACACCGTCGCACAAATCTCTACCCCTTTTGTACGCATTTATGAAACGCCGGGGAATTTCAGTCCAAAATCGTATCAAACTTTTGGCATTCATAGAGAGGTTGTGTTCACACGATATATGCTTTTCATGTCTAAACTTATTCAAAATGAGTTCACTTGAGTTTGCATTTTATATTTACGCCGTTGTCTCCAATTATATGCTTATCAGTAACTTTGTTAAGTAATTATCACTAATTAGAGTTACCAGATGTCCATTTTTCAAAATATATTCATTAATTTTTTTAAATATATATTAACATTTTATAAAGTTTATTATTTAAGGTAGCCCAACAATCCTATAAATCACTTTCTTCATATATAAATTGTGGTAAAAAATGATAAATTTTTATGTTTATGGAGGGGATGTCCGATGAGTTAAGGTTTTGGGGGTATATTTGGACACCACTCCAAAGCTACGTTACTTAAATCATTACACTTTTAGTTTTAATAATAAAACAAATTAACTTTAATTATAAATTGGGGTTCACTTTACATTATGTTGAGAGCTGAGCGACTGTTCAGCTCTGCGCTAAAAACAGCTCTGCTTTACATTAATCATTGAATTAAGTTTTGTATTGAAAAGTATGAGATTGTTATGAGTAATGAAAAGCTTATCAAAAGTAATAATAAGTAATTATAGATATTTATAAGTCATTAAGTGATTTATATTAAAATAGTATTAATAGATAAACCATAGCCTCTGCATTTATAATTTAAGATTCATTATTAAAACTGATAAAATTATTTTAAATAAATAATTAAAATGTAAAATAAATTACTTGTAAAAAAGTTAATGTAATAATAAAAATCATTTTATTTCAAAAATATAATGCAGTAACCAAACATAAAAAACTTGACCCCTTAATCATACATATGTCACGAGGAGTTTAACACATGAATCATAAGTTCATTAATAGCGGCCAAAAATGTCATCGCAATTGTCAGTATCCTCGGGCGCGACACACACTCCGAATGACTCATCGAACACAGCGTCCAGCGGATTGCAATTGAACAGGGTGCGTGTGAATTTGCCCTTGTTATTAATCGAGTGGCACCGATAGAACTTGGTACAATCGTTAGGGTTACGGAAAAAGCCAGCCTCGTCACAGGGCAGCGGCTGAGTCCAGTGGGACGGTATGTCCTGCGGGGTCGGTGTTGTTGTGGTGGCGCGCCGTCTGTGCGCTCTCGGGAACAGCTCCGGGTGGGCGACGCAGCATAGGTTGTCGCACACCTAGAAAAAATGTGATTTTGTTTTTATATAAATAATTTCATTATTTTGCTAGAATAACTACGCAATGCACTATGATAATTGTTTGTGATATTATGTATTTATAATAAATAAAATATAATTTTTATTACATACAGTAGATAAGCGCATTATAACTGTGTATGTTTATAGCAGTGTATCTTTAGGTAGACCAAAAACTTATCATCATTAAAAATTTAATAACTCACACACAAAATATATAATTAAATAATTACAGTTTGTTCAAAACCAAACTAGTACTAACATGATATGGTCCACATTTGACACCATCCTCCATATATTGTTCAAACACTTCCACTGACTCTTGGCATTGAATAATGTCTTCTTTCTGCGACATATGAGCTGGGTACGATCGGAGATTATTGTCCTTGTTGATTGGCAGCTCGTCCTCGCACAGGGCACACTCAACTTTACACGGATTGTTGTACGTGTTCTGACCGACAAAGCTCAGTTTGGCGGTACCTGTGTTGTTGAACTTAGGGAATAGCTGTTTGCACCGGTCGGCCCGGTCTAGGCTGCCGATGTATGGCGTCGGGTAGGCTATTTAGAAATAAATGACCATGATTAATTTTATTTCACATAATGTAGTTGTTATGTTTTATTTAATTGATAAAAATTTAATGATGCACAATATATTGACAAGAATAAAACATAATTATTATGTAAACAGCTAAATACTAATTTTTAAGTATAATTTGTAAACGGTAAATTATTAATATGCTGTATATTATTATTAAGATTCTTATTTAAATATTTATAAAGATTTATAAATAAATATTTATTTTAGAGTGTCTCAAGGTATCATTTTGTATATTAATTTACATTTTAATTATATATAAAGTAGGACATATTTAATTTGTTAAATCCATATAGATTATTGTATTACGGAGTGGAAATAAACTACACAATATTTAAAATAATATTATTAAATGATTTATATACAATATACAGTAGTTTATATTGTAATTTAAATACAATATAAAATTTTACTAGTAATACAATATAAATACATGTGTATACATGTGTATATTTGTTGTAAACTGTAATATATTAATAGATCTTAATATTAATGGTTGGTAAATAATTTACAGGTAATTTATATTGGTTTAATCAAGTAGTTAGTACATTATACTGTAAAAGAAGATTTATTAAATACATATTTTAGTTTTAAAAGAATAATATTTTTAATTATTATTATTAAAATACTAAGCTAATATTAATATCCATTGATAATTAAATTTATATCTATAAATATATTTTACAATTACTCTTTAATTAATTGTTTATCAATTATTACGAGAGCATATTATACAGAGTACAATAAATTATAAAATATAATACACACGTATTTCTTGAGCGTTAAATCCACGGCAATGTTGTCCCCTAGGGTTACCAGCGGTCCCTAAATTCTCGGTTAAAACGCTGGCAATATTTATTATTAAAATTATTAAAAAGCATTTAATTGATTTGTTAAACATTTTTATTTTTCTTATAATAATTATAACGTAATATCTAATGAAATACTAATTATTAAACTTATAATGATTTATAATTATTATATTTTATTTATTAACAACGTATTCAATTAAAACGGTATACATGTATATCATTAACTAATTATCACTGATATTGAAAACAATTTTACAATTGTATTAATACACTTCAAAATAAAACCAAATTAATATATTTCAGGTATTTGTTGACCATGTGCCAGAAATAACTTTAAAATCAACAACAATTCAATAAAACATAACAGTTATTTCATTAGTCATATAAAATCTTAAACTAAATTCACACAAACAGTTATTTGTTATCACAAAACAGGTATTGATTATCACTTTAAAATTAATTTAATAAAAACACAAATTTTTCAAAATATTTTGAGGAAAAGTTTAGACAATTTTCACTGAAAAACAATTTTTTGTTAACATATACTCCCGTATAAGACACCAAACTATAAAATACTGACAACACGTTTAAAATATGTGTTATTAATTAAATATATTAAAAACAAATTCTCTATGAGTTCACTATACAGGCGTAGAGTGTTTTATACACGATATAATGAACCAGATATTTAGTTGGGTATGTATTACATGCATATTAAATCAGCCATTAAGGTAGGCGGTTTATCGTCTTTAAATTAATCATTAAATAATTCACATAAATAATTAAACAAAATATTTTATTGTCAAATACAATATTATAATTTATACAAATTATCAAATACCATAAACAATAACAAAGCATTTATATAAAAAAGTAACAAGATCATTAATTACGAATAAAAATATTATCGCAAGGGTCGTTGTCTTCCGGCGGGACACACACTGCGAATGACTCATCGAACACAGCGTCGGCCGGATTGCAATCAAACATGGTGATTGAATATTTGCCCATGCTCTTTGAATGACACCGGTAGAATTTGTGACAATCATTAGGGTTGCGAAAAAAGCCCTCCTCATCGCACCGGAGCTCCTGAGTCAAGTGGTTTGGCACGTCCTGCGGGTTAGGTGTGGTCGATGTGCGCCATTTGGCCGCTTTCGGGAACAGGTCGGCCCGGGACACGCAGCACCGGTTCTCGCACACCTAGGTGGTAATTTTAGATTAATTAATTATCAGTTTGTTTTTCAATAGAAATAAATTATTAATTTTTTCTAATTATATTTATTGCAAACATATTGCTTGTTATATTAATAATTATTTTTTAAATAACTCGTAATTATTTAAACAATAGTTGTAAAATATATCATTTATATTTAAAGAAGTTTGCGCAAAAATAATGGTGAAAATGCCAAAAATTTTATTTAAATTTTTAAATATTTATTTTAATTTGCGAAATGACTTATCAGTGTAAGCATATTTAAAATTGATATAAATGATGTTCGGTAATTACGTTATTCACTATAAAAAACGTACAAACTGATACTAAATTTCTTAATTTTGATATAACTTTTATTGATTATGTCAGATTTGAGAAATTCCTTCGAATCACGATTCTCCTCATC